AAGTTGAATGTTTTCATGCTATGTTTTGATCAATGATCATTGATGAGTTGTAATGCAAATGTGTAACACTAATGCTATCATACATGTACCAAAATGAATGGTTATTTAATATGCCATGTAGGGCCAAAGAGTGCCACGTGCAAATTTATGTCAATAATTTGGACGGCAGTTGGGAATTGAGCCAAATTGGGAATGATCATATAGTTTAGAGACCAAATTGGGAAAAATAAACTTTAAGGGCAAGGTAAGAATTCAATAATACTTTACGAGGACAAAATGTAACTGGATGCAGTTGCCGAGAGAGAAGCCGGAGCAGAAGAAAGCACTTTTGGTGAAAAGAGAACATATCGTTGACTACCGTAAACTGCAGAACTAACATCAAAACCACTGCCAACTTTCCCTTTTCCGGTCTCACTTGATAAACCCCACCTAGAAGCATGGAAAACTAACACAGTTCAATCCGTTAAACTTTGGCTTGCTCTAAACATTGGCCTATGGAAACATCTCAAGTATAATAATGTGCAAATTTGTAACAATACATTAATGATATAGATAAGATGATCCAAAAAATCACTTTCATTCTAGTAGCTCAGAAAGCATAATCATTATAGTAGATGTTTCAATTGTAGTAAAAGAGAAAGAACATGATAGGAAAAAAATATGAGCAAATAAACACCACTAAAGATAAAATAAGTTGAAGATTTTAAAAGTACAATAGGAAAGGTACAATACCTGATTCCGATATGAATAGAAGTCATTGCAACCTAAAATTGTAATGTCAAGACCTGCATGAATAATCCAGTTGAGACATTAGATATTTACAATTACTTAATTTTAATAAGAAAGATGAAGCATCAAACATTACCTTGTAAAAGTAGTTTGTGTAACAAATCCTTTTTATCCTTTTCCAATGTCGCAAGGGCTGCTGCTACAGCATATTGCGCTGCATATTCTAGAAAGGGGTTTCTTGATTCACAGAGATTTTAAGCCAACACTGATAAGCATCACCTCAAGCCAATATACCATTTATTTTCCCCGTTAATTGAATTTAGTTATTAAGACAAGAAAAACCACTAAAAATAATTCTTCTTCGGAAGACACAAATGTGGATTGCACGGTAGCTGCTCTACTTGCCCCGGCTAGTCCAAGATAATGAAGTGAAGAGAGAAAAGTAAATGTGGATTGCTTGGTAGCTACTCTTCTTGCCGCGGCTAGTCCCATAGAAGACACAAATCCTCTTGAACTTGGATTGCTTCATTTCATTCTCTCTACATCACTCGTCCTAGTTGCAATATCAATAGAAATTCAAGCTATATGTAAAAAATCTTTGCAGAACATCAGGGAAAGTTTTCGTCATACTTTCAACCTAAAATGTGAATTTAGGACCTATTTATAAGTCCAAAAATTATGTTCTATATTTAATTGAAACAACCTTCAAGATTCTACCTTGGCTTTATTACCGCTTATTACACTTTACAAGGTCAAATGAATTATATATGGCCAACATATATATAGTCTATTCACAAGTTTTGTATGAACCAGCCAAAGACCATTCACAATCTAAAACTTCAATGATCTATAAAATGGTATATTAAATTTTATGAAATTTGTAGTTTCATTTGAAGATATCACTGCAACTAGATTTATTGTGGAAGCAAGAAGAATTTTATTATTATTATCATTGTCAGTGATATTTATATTAATATTTTATTTTTATCTGATTACACCTAGGTAGGAATAAATTCTCTATTGCATGAAGGTAAAGTAAAAGCTATCATTCTATATGGATTGCATCCAGAGAGTAAGGTCACTAATTAAGAATGAGGCAAAGGAAAATGAAAACACACAAGTACATCAAAAATTTCCTTTTCTTTTCTTGTTTTCCCCAATTTGTAAGCAACCAAACAGTGCGTAAAAGGAATCCGTGCACCAGATTCGATTCCTCAAGAGATACTGCAATTAATAGTACCTGTGAGAGATTCAAAGCAGATAAAGAAAAGAAAAATAGCAGTAGAAGGATTCAAAGAAGATTCAATTACTCCTTCAACTGTATTCAGTTTCATACAAAACTAGGGCCAAAATTTTTATTTTTCTTCCAGAATTGATAAGATGCTTTCAAACCAGAAAGAGCGAAAGCTGCCCCGGAGGCTCGAGGCGCGGCAGAGGATTCGTTGACGGACGGTGATACTTAACATTTTTTTTTTGGGTCTTTTTTAAGCAGTGAAAAAAGGGTCATGTGGTATGGCCTCAAAACAAGCAGGTGCAGTGCGGCCATGGAAAGCTAGGTTCTCTGTGGTATTATATTTTTGTGGGTGTATTTGGGGGGTATTTTTAGAATTCACTATTTATATATTTTGAAAAAGAAATTTATGTATAAGTTTTAATAAGTGGATTTATTATCTAATATGTTTTGTAATAATTAATGTATTTTTTAAAAAATATTTGAAAAAATATCACTAATTGTTAATTTTCAACTTCAAATTGAAATTTTTTTACAAAAAAATGTTACTAATTATAAGTTTTAGCGACAGTTTAAAAAAAATCACAAAAAAGTCACTAATTTAACTTTTAGTTATAATTTAGAAAATTCATTACGAACTAATTGTCAATTTTTAGCAACATACATAAAAAATTGTAACAAAAAATTATTTTTAGTGACGATTTTAGGAGGACTACTTTCAATTGGACTTAAGTCTCGTTTGGAAATAGACTATTTTAGTAATTTTTTGATTTTTTAGCTAAAATATGAGATAAAAAATTAGTATGTTTGAGATGACTTCTTAATTTTTTACGAAAAGATGTACGAAGAGTAAAGAGAAAAAAGAATTTTTGATTTTTTTTATATATATAATTTGTTGGTTTTTTGGTTTTTTTTTAATGACTTTTTGACTTTTAAGCTAAAAAGTGATATTCCCAAATAAGGCTTTACTGAGAATAAAATTTAACTATTAGAATTTATTGATAGTTTATCTTGTAACAACTATTTGGCTAAGATGGTGGCCGATTTATATGGATAGTTGACTTGTTTTTTTGGATAGATTAGATGTAAAACAAATTCAACATTGCCGGCTTCTCAGATCTACCTATTAATTAATATGTGATAAAAAAATAAGATTAAAATTTGATGTGATCGAACAGTCAACATCTCGGGTCAAATACAAAGTGACTTATAGAATACTACTTCTACCATATGTTAATTAATAAGTAAAAGAATACATTACGCTGTCGTAATTATGTATCTATTATTAGGGACGGAGGGAAAGAAGGGTTAGGAGGGGTCTCGGCCCTGCTATTTTGCTAGGATAGGTGTGTGATTATATGATGTATGTGTTGCTTAATTGCATTTAGCCCTCTCAAACTTTTTATTTTTATTTTTACTTATCTACTTTATTTTGTAGAATAGTTATGAGTTTTTGAAATATTAATACAAATTATTATAATTATGTTACGAATGGATGCACCAAGAAAAAAAAAAAAAGTTTTAGTTACAAATTATTAAGGTTATTGAAAAATCTAGAAATCCCCTAGATATTGATTTGTGATTATGTATCAATTTTAAGCAGTAAATAACAATCACAATCAAACAATCAAGACAACTCGACACAACGATTTTACGTGAAAAAATCACAATTGAAGCGCCTTCAATTGTGATAAAAAACCACGAGCAAAAGTCACAAAACAATCTATTAAGAAGACATAAAAGAATTACACAAGTGTACTCTCAATTACCTAGCGAATCCACGCCCAAATCGAACCAACCTCTATGTGCCTCTTCCAGCCCCCTATTCACCTCAGAATTGTCATGCCCAACGTTGAATCCACAACGCCGATGTCAAATCACGACGATGAGCCACTCCGGAATCCAACAAAGCTTCAGGCTCGAATTCCACGGAATCTACCGAAGAACAACACTCTCTTTTGTATTGAACAAAACAAATAATCCTTTGATGTATATTTTCCAAACCATGAGTGAAACTCAAACAAACATCAAAGAACCTAGCCAAGAAGCTCCAGATATAAACCCTAATATCCAAGAAGCAGATCTGGAAGTCGTAACCCTAAAAACGGACTAAAACACATATTTATAGAAAATAGGGCCGCGATGCTCGCTCGAGCGAAGAAATTCTCGCTCGAATGAGGAGACTAAAACGCGTGTTTTTCAAGTGTCTTCGCTCGAGCCACCAAAGTCTCGCTCGAGCTAGAAATACAACTTCTCAGTATTTTTACAGTCAGTGAAAACTTCTGAAACCAAGGATTCTTTGCTCGAGCGCACATTCCTTCACTCCAGCGACCAAACAACTTCGATTGCAATTTTGCTTTTGGCTTCGGGGGCGCTTCCTTTCGACCTCGCCTGGGGGCTGCCCTAGACCCACCAAGGGGCGTTGCCCGTGGACCCTCGCGAGCTGACCGAGTAGCTCGATCCCCAACATAGTCAACGAAGTGGCAAACATGAAAGCATTAACTCCTGAAACATCTTTGCAAGACACAATTTGGGTTGGATTCGCATCTAAAAACTCATAGCCTCACTAAAATAAAAGTGTGAATAAAAGTACAATTGAAAGGAGTTTTGTCAAACGGGATTGCTAAGAATAAAAACCTAACAGTTGTATAATGAACTATTATGATTATGTTATGAATATTAAAATATTACATATTGTTATGGTGAAAAAAGTTATTAACTACTGTGATTTTGTTACCAATCATTGTAGTATAGTTTTGAAAGAACATACGGTATACATTTTTAAGAGTGTGTACCATAGTTTTGCTTGTTTGATTTCCTAAAAAAAAAAAATTCAAGTATTTTCATCTTTCATTCATTAGTATACGACAATTTTCAAATTTTGTATACATGGTGCGATATGTAATTCATTACCATTTATGTACTGTATAAAGTATGTAATATTACTTCTCATTTACATTTTTCCAATGGTAAATCACTGAAATTGAAATTCATGCAATATATTTTTGTAATTATTTTTTAGCTTGGTTTTAATAGTGATTTGTTGATTTTAGTCATCTAAATTGAACTTGATCTAACTGCTTATACTTTTCTTTTTTGGCCACTCTTACTACTATGACTTATCTCATATGATGGGATAAACTGTTTCATATAGTACTTTCTTTTTTGGCTACTCTTACTCTAATGACTTATCTCATGAATGGGACCAACAGTTTTTTAGGTTGAAACTTGGATAAATTCAACCGGGTTGAAGTCTAGGTGTTCAATTTCATTCTAAAGCATACAGAGATTTGTCTAAATTCGATCCAAACTGATCTCTTGCCTTAACTGACTAGTCTAAGCCCAAGTCACTGCAATATAATTTAAGAGAAATATTACATCAATAGAGGACATTTTATTTCAAATTTTACCCATTCTTTTAACCTATCCATTCAAATATTTTTTTATCTGTTTAGTTTTTTTAAACTTACTGTCAAAATTATTAACCTATATATCGAAAAAATCTATATGTCAAAATTATTCACCAAGATTATTTTTTTCCTATCTATTAATTTTTTTATCTGTTCAAATTTTTATCTTAATTTTTTTCTTATCTGTCCAAATTATAATCCATCTGTTGGATTCGCAAGTTTATTTTCCCTATCTGTTGAAATTATTTTTTATCTATTCAATTATTTTTGAACCTATATCAACTTATTTGTTACAAAAATTGAACCAATTTGAGCCTTTTTGAACAGATTCAACGATAATGATTTACGATGATGATGAGGGCTCGTGAAGAACGAGTTCGGCGCCAAGCAGTACTGCATTAAGCCAAATGTAACAACCCTCACCTTACTCTTGCCATACTTGCATACATTCTTGCATGATCTTGCTTGTTATGTTAATTTGAAGGTTCTATCTTGGCTTGATTTGCTTAAGTTGCTTGCGTGATTTTGTTCCTTGCTTAGTGCGTGTGCGTAGCCGAGATCATCTTGAGCTTAGTCCGCCTTTGACCCTTTGTACTTAGAACTATCTTGAGGTCTTGTTCAACCCCATCTTCACCTCGGGCATTCTTTGCCGAGATGTCCCGCACTTGAACCTTGTCCGCAGGAAGG